GGGCACTGCTGCCTTGTATAGGTGGACCTGGTCATGGGAGAGTGTCTCGCTGGTCTGGGCGGGGTGTCTGTGGGAGAGTGTCGGCCTCAACCACAGACCCAACACCCCGCAGGTCTGGGAGAGTGTCTCGCTGGTCTGGGCGGGGTGTCTGTTGATCTGTTGCTCCTGTGTGAGGTGTTGGGTCTGTGGTTGAGGCCGATATCCTTTAGGGTCCGGGCGAAGGTGGGCACTGCTGCCTTGTATAGGTGGACCTGGTCATAAAGGCTGTTCACGTCCAGGGTGGAGTGGTGGGCCAGGTAGACTTTTGGTTTTGATGCACAGTCACGGGAAATACTTGCGTTTACCCGCTGTATGGTAGCAGGGTGGAAGTCTTTTCGTAGTAACAGGGTTGAGATAACCACTTGTGCGTTGGGGAAAGTAGAATAAGCTTTTTCTATCACTCCCTTGAGTGCTGTGGCCACCCTTTCCTGCTGTGGTCTCAGGTCGTTTGTGCCTGTGTGTATTATTATGTGGCTGGGTGATCCTAGTCGGTCCTCAGACAGAAGGTCTAGGGCGTGCTGGGTGTTTGGACACCAGAGTTTAGACACTGTGTGTTTTGTGTTTTGAAAAAGTGTATTTTCTTGTATGTATTTCCCATTTGAGTCCATAAGGAGTACAATCTGTGGCTTGTGTATGTCATCAGTGGGTGTGGGGGGTCGTAATGAGGGCTATCAGGGTGTCTGACAGGGGGATTGCTCAGAGGGGTTGGGGTCCCCAGGGCTTGGGGTTCTTCATCTGTTTGTCTGGGTGTGATGTCGAGGCTATGGTCAGGGTCTAGGGTGTACTGTTCTGCTGCGGTGTCGAGACTTTGGCCAGGATCTGAGGTGGGCTGTTCTGCTGGCTTCTCTGCGGGGGTGGTGGTGCTTCTAAGGGCTCTCCATTTGGTTGGGGTAGACTGTGCGACTCTCCTGCCATTGTTGGGCTCAAGGGCTTTGACACCTCTCACTTCCCACGTCAGTGCTAATTGAAATTGTATCTCTTTGTACTAGCAAGCTTGGTAGCCTTAGCATTCAGTCCTTATAAAGTAAAATATATCATTGTAATGTATTTTTCTTCTTGGTTTTTGAAAGTGAAAAATAGCTTCATACTAAACATTACTCACTCAGTTCCAGGTTGGATGGTGTTTTCAGGTTTCTGTTTGTTTCCCAGAGCATTTGCTGTATAGTTTGGGAATAGTAATCCTTGGTAGTAGAAAGCCTTCCAGTTAATTCTGTCCAAAATCAGGTTGTAGGTTTGGAGTTTTGGTTTGGAATGAAGGTTATGTTGTGGAGGATAGCATCATGTATATGTCCCTGCCAAAAAATCCTACTTTATCTAACTCTAAATCTATATTTTTTGTTAAAAATGCAGGAGCAATGTCTTTGAGCTCTCTCTCTCCCTCTCTAGCTCTCTCTCTCCCTCTCTACCGCACCTGCTGTCTCGACCTCTGAATGCTCGGCTATGAAAAACCAACTGCCATTTACTCTTGAGGTGCTGACCTGTTGCACCCTCTACAACCACTATAATTATTATTTGGCCCTGTTGGTCATCTATGAACATTTGAACATCTTGAAGAACGATCTGGCCTTAATGGCCATATACTCTTATAATCTTCACCAGGCACAGCCAGAAGAGGACTGGCCACCCCTCAGAGCCTGGTTCCTCTCTAGGTTTCTTCCTAGGTTCCTGCCTTTCTAAGGAGTTTTTCCTAGCCACCATGCTTCTACATCCACATTGCTTGCTTTTTGGGGTTTTAGGCTGGGTTTCTGTATAAGCACTTTGTGACATCTGCTGATGTAAAAAGGGCTTTATAAATAAATGTGATTGATTGATTACAGGCACACATTCTCTTTCCCTCTGACATACAAGAGTTAAAATTGTTTATCTTTCTGTTGCATGAGAGCGGTGGAAGAGTGCCCCTCCCTCTCTCACTCTGTTCCACCTTTTACTCACTGTCACGCACATACCTCAGAGTATCATACTCCCACTTTCAGTTTGTGTCACGCACACACACATGCAATCACCTTAACGTATACTGTCTCGTGTATCCTACATATTATGAGAACTGGTAGCACAAATCCCTCCCTCTTGTCTGAGTAAACTAATTGTTTGGTCCGAGGGTTGCTTGGTCCAGTGTTCCGGAAAGCAAGTAGTTACTTGAAAAGGGGCCAACAATGTGTCCCAGTGGACTAGAGGCAAAGGGGTACAAGAAAGGCCATACGAGGGCGGCAAAATAAATTAGGTTTAACAAGGACATCAAGAGGGAAAGTTCCTGAGGATTAAAGAACATTATGGTGAAGTGGTTATTTCCATGATTTTCCCTTCACAGACCTGGATGTGGCCTGGCTTGAAAACTATTACAGACTACAAAGGGAAGCACAGCCGCAAGCTTCCCAGTGACACAAGCCTACCAGACGAGCTAAACCACTTATATGCTCGCTTCGAGGCAAGCAACACTGAAGCATGCATGAGAGCACCAGCTGTTCCGGATGACTATGTGATCACGCTCTCCGTAGCCGATGTGAGTAAGACTTTTAAGCAGGTCAACATTCACAAGGCCGCAGGGCCAGACAGATCACCAGGACGTGTACTCCGAGCATGTGCTGACCAACTGGCAAGTGTCTTCACTGACATTTTCAACATGTCCCTGACTGAGTCTGTAATACCAACATGTTTCAAGCAGACCACCATAGTCCCCGTGCCCAAGGACACTAAGATAACCTGCCTAAATGACTACCGACCCGTAGCACTGACGTCTGTAGCCATGAAGTGCTTTGAAAGGCTGGTCATGGCTCACATCAACACCATTATCCCAGAAACCCTAGACCCACTCCAATTTGCATACCGCCACAACAGATCCACAGATGATGCAATCTCTATTGCACTCCACACTGCCCTTTCCCACCTGGACAAGAGGAACACCTATGTGAGACTGCTATTCATTGACTACAGCTCAGCATTCAACACCATAGTGCCCTCAAAGCTCATCACTAAGCTAAGGATCCTGGGACTAAACACCTCCCTCTGCAACTGGATCCTGGACTTCCTGACGGGCCGCCCCCAGGTGGTAAGGGTAGGTAACAACACATCTGCCACACTGATCCTCAACACGGGGGCCCCTCAGGGGTGCGTGCTCAGTCCCCTCCTGTACTCCCTGTTCACCCATGACTGCATGGCCAGGCACGACTCCAACACCATCATTAAGTTTGCCGACGACACAACAGTGGTAGGCCTGATCACCGACAACGATGAGACAGCCTATAGGGAGGAGGTCAGAGACCTGGCCGTGTGGTGCCAGGATAACAACCTCTCCCTCAACGTGACCAAGACAAAGGAGATGATTGTGGACTACAGGAAAAAAAAGAGGACTGAGCACGCCCCCATTCTCATCGACGGGGCTGTAGTGGAACAGGTTGAGAGCTTCAAGTTCCTTGGTGTCCACATCACCAACGAACTATTATGGTCCAAACACACCAAGACAGTCGTGAAGAGGGCACGACAAAGCCTATTCCCCCTCAGGAGACTGAAAAGATTCGGCATGGGTCCTCAGATCCTCAAAAAATTATACAGCTGCACCATCGAGAGCATCCTGACTGGTTGCATCTCCGCCTGGTATGGCAACTGCTTGGCCTCAGACCGCAAGGCACTACAGAGGGTAGTGCGTACGGCCCAGTACATCACTGGGGCCAAGTTTCCTGCCATCCAGGACCCTAGTCATAGACTTTTCTCTCTGCTACCGCACGGCAAGCGGTACCGGAGTGCCAAGTCTAGGTCCAAAAGACTTCTCAACAGCTTCTACCCCCAAGCCATAAGACTCCTGAACAGCTAATCATGGCTACCCTGACTATTTGCACTGCCCACCCACCCCATCTTTTTACGCTGCTGCTACTCTGTTAATTATTTATGCATAGTCACTTTAACTCTACCCACATGTACATATTACTTCAAATACCTCAATTAGCCGATGCCCCCGCACATTGACTCTGCACCGGTACCCCCCTGTATATATAGCCTCCCTACTGTTATTTTATTTTACTTCTGCTCTTTTATTTCTCAACACTTTTTTGTTGTTGTTTTATTTTACTTTTTTATTAAAAATAAATGCACTGTTGGTTAAGGGCTGTAAGTAAGCATTTCACTGTAATGTCTGCACCTGTTGTATTTTTTTGTTGTTGTACATTTCACTGTAATGTCTGCACCTGTTGCGCATGTGGCTAATACAATTTGATTTGATTTGATTTGATTTGATTTGAGAACAAGGGATCCAACCAGTGCATTACTTCAAGAGAGAAGAGAGGTACTCTAGGACCAGACCCAAGCAGACTTTCTAAGCATCTCTCTGGGGATACATTGTGCTGTTAAAATCTGCTCATATCGGCTAGCCTGACCAATCAGAGCCGGCGTGGAATGAATCAAGGATTGAGAGTATGGGTATTCTGCAGCGTCTTTGACAACATATTGCTCTGTTTCTAGGGAGCTTCAAAAGAGCTGAAAACCTTATATTAAAAACTAGTTTTCAGGGTCATGTGGGTTTATTGAAGTGAGTTGCTTTATGCCCTAGTCACCCTACCCCTTTCGTGATATAATTTGTGAAAGGAGTGCTAATACACACATACATGTGTGCACAAAACAAAACCCAACCCTCGCATCAGAAAGAATAATTAAAACCCATTAGAAGAAAGAAGTATCAGAGCGAGTGTATGTGTGCGTGTGAAGCAGAAGGAGGGTGGTCACTAACAGGAGAATAAAGGGGAAGGACATGGAGGGGGTGGCTTGAGAGAGAGAGAGAGAGAGAGAAGAGAGAGAGAGAAGAGAGAGAGAGAATAGAGAAGATAGAGAGAGATAGAGAGAGGATAGAGAGAAGATAGATATAGAGAGATATATATCTATATATATGCACTCTCTCGTCTCTCCTCTATCTCTCTCTCTCTCTCTCTGCTCTCTCTCTCTCTCGTTTCTATTCTGAACTTATGTAACAAGGAATGGAGGTAGGATAAGAACGCGAAGCTGGGTTGGAAAATCTAAACCAAAGCAGGAGAGAAAATACATTGCCTGTAGTGAGGGAAGAGCAAGGAACAGGGGAAGGAGAAAGAAAAGGAAAGCTTGGACAGAGACAAGAAGAGACTGAGAAGCTGAGAAGAGTGGCCAAACAGGATACTACTGAATTCCACTCAACGTGGGAAATGTGAGCTTCTCTTTTTTATTTTGTCAAATGTTCTGTGACAGTAGCTGATATATCTTATGAATCTATATACATATTTCAACATTTTGAGTGAATGTGACTGACTTTTATTTATTTTCTCTGCTCACAAATGGGGTTTTCTTACTGCAGATGGCTATATATTGTGTATTTGTGCATGATGGCTTTGTAATTTAGCATGAATACATGTGACTGCAGTGAACATTAAGGTCATTATGGGTCAAAAGGAAGTTGTTATAAAGTTGTTTAAGTTATTAAAAGTTATTACTGACAACAATGCAAATATTATGAAATGTATTCAAATGTAAATTTTACTATTCAATAGAATCTAAGAGATTGTTGCCTTTTCTTTGAACTTTTCCCACAGACTGACAAAGGTTTTACATGCCTAAGTCTGAAGGAACTTATGCTCTTGTTTTGAAGTGTGTACAGATAAGATCTTGACAGTGTGCTATGCCAGGAAACCTGCAGACCTTTTCCCTTTAATGTAACATAACCAGCTTCTTACTTTTGCAGAGACAGGATAAAATGGCCTATTCAACCTATTTTTATAGATCACATATCAGGCACATTATGTTGGAAACATACAAAGTTCATAGTCAGCTAGTTGTGCTTTGCAAAGTCATCGTGACCATTTACTGTCTATCATTTTCTGTACTGTATGTCTTTTATCAAGGGAACTGGCAAGGAATTATATGTGGAAACTGGGACCTCTTGTCACCTGCAGACTATCCTTGAATGAAGCAAGAATATTAGTGAATAGTTGATTATTGTAACTCTCCCTGATAACATCTCTCTGATCAATGGTGGACTGTGTTGTTGTTACAGATGGAGCTGCCACCTCGACCAAAACTCTTTGACTTCCATGGAGTCTCCATGACCCACTATTTCACTGACAACTGGGAGAACATACAAAACTTCCAGGCCAGACCAGATGATATCCTCATCGCCACTTACCCCAAAGCAGGTCTGTGCGTGTGTGTTTGTGTGTGTGTTTGTGTGCTGTCGACATCTTGTAGGGATAAATGGATGACATGAGACGCAGCTCTTTGACATGCCTCTCTCTCCCTCTTTATCTCTTCCTCTTTCTCTCTCCCCATTTCTCCATCTTCTCTCCCCCTCTTTCTCTCTCCCAGGTACCACGTGGGTCTCCTACATTCTAGACCTGCTGCATTTTGGTCAGACAGCCCCTGAGCGTCAGACTTCACTGCCTATCTATGAGAGAGTGCCTTTCCTGGAGAGTGACTTCCATATTCTCCCTCCAGGTTAGAATACAACCATAATATAGCTCTACACACTGTAAAGCCTTTATCTTGATTACACATCAATAAAGTTTGAAGGGCACTGTGTACTCCAAATAGATAACTGATCAGCTGACAATGACGCTGCACTTACAAGTCTCATCAGAGTCTCAGTGTAGATCAAATCTTTGTCATACTTGAATACAGAATCTGGAAAACACCATGCACTATACCGTAACCTGATTATAAGTCCTCATCAACAGCCATGTTACTGTCACAAAGTAGAAGGATAATTTGCATGGCTTGAAATCTTATACTGTGAGAAGTTGTGCAAATCACATATTCCAGCTACATGACAATGAGCAGTTTTACTGTAAAGTCATCCTTATCTCCAAAAAGTACCCTAACCAGAACCTCACCCCTCCGTACACACAGGAACGGAGCTGGCAGACAAGTTATCCACCTCTCCTCGCCTCATCAAGACTCACCTCCCAGTCCAGTTGGTGCCCAAGTCCTTCTGGGAGCAGAACTGCAGGGTACATTATGTGTAACTTTCTCTCTCTGCTTGTTGACTGTGTAGTCTGTGAATATGTCTCTGCTCTATATGTCTCTGCTCTATATATCTCTGCTCTATATGTCTCTGCTGGTGTAGCATTCTGTCTACATTTGTGCATCCTCAAACCTGCTATGCTGCATTTTGTCCAGTAAGTGAACTTAATTAATGACGCAATTTGTGTGAATGCCCAATGGAGGGCAGCATAGCGTAACATAGTACACTAACTATCACAAACCTCTCTAGAACCAACGTGTGTCTCCTTGTGGAATGCGAAGACTCCATAGAAACCCAGTCTTTGTAAACAGTTTTTGTTGTCCTAATTTTTCCCTTTTCCATTTCCTTCTGTTTGGTTTGTTTAAGTGATAATGCCCGAGAAGCCTGTGTTAGGAGGATATATTGCCATGGGTGTTGTTAGTCCCGAGACAAAGTTGAGGTCCGGCAAACTGAACCAATAACACCAGCTTCGAGGGCATTATAATTTTTATACAACGGGTTACCAACATTTTCAAATAATGATTGACATATTTTCATTCAAAATGTTATTTTGATTAATTTATTCATACTTTTTCATCCTTCCATGAGATATAGTCCCGACACAAATCTAAGGTGGCTACCCAAGCCAGCTGGTTGTTCGTTCTATCGGTTCATTTGCCAGAGACGCGACCCAGTTGTTAAGTCTTTTTGTTCTGTATCTATGGACACGACCCAGTCGTTTGTTCTAAATGTTTGATTGCCATAATGGCTGGCAATGTTCTTATTCCTTGCTTGCTAGCTAGCCAACTACAGCTAACTTACAGTCACATCAAACAGTGCAGACAGAATTACAGCAAAGTAGCTGAACTTGCATTTGTTTATGCTGCATTTGTTTATGCTGTCTAGTGACATTTATTTGGATACATCCATAACAACGAGCTAATGATATGCGGTTTTACCTGGCATAGAATATGTGTTCTCTCGTCAGGACACTGTTGTTCAGAGGAGCTAGCCAACAACACAGCTAACACAATCACTTCAAATGGAAGCTGGAAAGACTGCAAACTATCTGCATTTCATTTTCGTTTGACCTGTTTTCATTTTCGTTTGACCTGACATTTCTTTGTATATATCCATAAAAATGATTTTGACTGGCTGAGAAAAGCTGTCTGCCTGTCTGTCTCATCCTGACTCCCAACATGTTCATTACTCTGGGACCGCTGGAGATCGAATTTCAATATTGAAACAATGTTGCAAATGTCGGAGAGACAGACAAGGTTTATAGAAATCTCCACTGTTGAAAACCACATTTTAGTCTAAAAGAAATGGGAGATAATTTCTAGATGTTTTTTTATAGTGGAGATCAAGTTTATAAATTGCATGGCTGGGCTGATGAGACAGTGGATTGCGCAGTGAGATGTAACAGAGTAAATAGGAATTTCAACATCATAGCTTTAGCCGGTGTTAACTTGTGGAATAGACACCGGCTGGAATGCGGTTTTAACCTATCAGCATCCAGGATTAGACCCACCCGTTGTATAATTAAATGATATACTCTTACATCAAGTCATGTTGTAATTGAAATGATTTCTCTCTCTCTGTAGGTTGTGTATGTGGCCCGTAATGCCAAGGACAATGCAGTGTCTTATTTCCACTTTGACCGCATGAACCAGGCCGACCCAGAGCCAGGAGACTGGAACAACTTCTTACAGAGATTCATAGATGGAAAGAGTGAGTGAATGAGAGAATGAATGAGTGAATGAATGAGTAAGTGAACAAATACATTTGAATGAGTAAGAGAGATAGCACAGTACAGATTCTGCTGATGCTCTGTGATTCTGGCTTACTGATCAATCTCTTTCCTGACTATGTATATCTCTATCTATCTTTCTAACATCCTCTCATGTCCACATGGCTGCTTTCCGCAGTGGTGTTTGGTCCTTGGCACGACCATGTGACTGGCTGGTGGGAGAGGAAACAGACTCACTCTAAACTCCACTACCTTTTCTATGAGGATATGGTTGAGGTGAGTTGAATAACTACCTCCTGTGCCATAAAGGTGCTGTTCTTTTTGCAGATTATGTAGCGCATTAACTTACATAAAGGTAGGCTGTATATCAGTGTTATATTGTTATATTGATCATCTCTAGCATTAGCTTTCAGTGAGGAAGAGTACTGTAGTAGGATGTCCCTTGTGGGTATCCGTACCTACAGTGCATTCGGAAAATATATAAAAAATCAGGCCCCTTGAATTTTTCCACATTTTGTTACGTTACAGACATATTCTGAAATTGATATTTTTTGGGGGGATCAATCTACACACAATACCCCATAATGACAAAGCAAAAACAGGTTTTTAGAAATGTTTGCAAATGTATAAAATAAAATAAACGGAAACATCACATTTACATAAGTATTCAGACCCTTTACTCAGTCCTATGTTGAAGCATCCTTGGCAGCGATTATAGCCTCGAGTCTCCTTGGGTATGACGCTACAAGCTTGGTTCACCTGTATTTGGGGAGTTTCTCCCATTCTTCTCTGCAGATCCTCTCAAACTCGGTGAGGTTGGATGGGGAGCATCGCTGCACAGCTATTTTCAGGTTTCTCCAGAGATGTTAGATCGGGTTCAAGTCCGGGCTCTGGCTGGTCTACTCAAGGACATTCAGAGACTTGTCCCGAATCCACTCCTGCGTTGTGTTGGTTGTGTGCTTAGGGTCGTTGTCCTGTTGGAAGTTGAACCTTCGCCCCAGTCTGAGGTCCTGAGCACTCTGGAGCAGGTTTTCATCAAGGATCTCTCTGTACTTTGCTCCGTTAATCTTTCCCTCGATCCTGACTAGTCTCCCAGTCCCTGCTGCTGAAAAACATCCCCACAGCATGATGCTGCCACCACCATGCTTCATCGTAGGGATGGTGCCAGGTTTCCTCCAGATGTGACGCTTGGCATTCAGGTCAAAGAGTTAAATCTTGGCTTCATCAGACCAGAGAATCTTGTTTCTCATGGTCTGAGAGTCCTTTAGGTGCCTTTTGGCAAACTCCAAGCGGGTTGTCATGTGCCTTTTACTGAGGAGTGGCTTCCGTCTGGCCACTCTACCATAAAGGCCTGATTGGTGGAGTGCTGCAGAGATGGTTGTCCTTCTGGAAGGTTCTCCCATCTCCACAGAAGTACTCTGGAGCTCTGTCAGGGTGACCATCGGGTTCTTGGTCACCTCCCTGACCAAGGCTTCTCTCCTCCGATTGCTCAGTTTGGCCGGGCGGCCAGTTCTAGGAAGAGTCTTGGTGGTTCCAAACTTCTTCCATTTAAGAATGATGGAGGCCACTGTGTTCTTGGGTACCTTCAATGCTGCAGAAATGTTTTTGTACCCTTCTCTAGATCTGTGCCTCGACACAATCCTGTCCCCAAGCTTTTTATTTATTTCACCTTTATTTAACCAGGTAAGCCTGTTGAGAACAAGTTCTCATTTACAACTGCGACCTGGCCAAGATAAAGCAAAGCAGTGTGATAAAAACAACAACAACACAGAGTTAGATATGGGGTAAAACAAAACATAAAGTCAAAAATACAACAGAAAATATATACAGTGTGTGCAAATGTAGCAAGTTATGGAGGTAAGGCAATAAATAGGCCATAGTGCAAAATAATTACAATTAGTATTAACACTGGAATGATAGATGTGCAAGAGATGATGTGCAAATAGAGATACTGGGGTGCAAATGCGCAAAATAAATAACAATATGTGGATGAGGTAGTTGGGTGGGCTAATTTCAGATGGGCTGTGTACAGGTGCAGTGATCGGTAATGTGCTCTGACAACTGATGCTTAAAGTTAGTGAGGGAGATAAGAGTCTCCAGTTTCAGAGATTTTTGCAGTTCGTTCCAGTCATTGGCAGCAGAGAACTGGAAGGAATGGCGGCCAAAGGAGGTGTTGGCTTTGGGGATGACCAGTGAGATATACAGTGAGGGAAAAAAGTATTTGATCCCCTGCTGATTTTGTACGTTTGCCCACTGACAAAAAAATGATAGTTCTATAATTTTAATGGTAGGTTTATTTGAACAGTGAGAGACAGAATAACAACAAAATAATCCAGATAAACGCATGTCAAAAATGTTATAAATTGATTTGCATTTTAATGAGGGAAATAAGTATTTGACCCCCTCTCAATCAGAAAGATTTCTGGCTCCCAGGTGTCTTTTATACAGGTAACGAGCTGAGATTAGGAGCACACTCTTAAAGGGAGTGCTCCTAATCTCAGTTTGTTACCTGTATAAAAGACACCTGTCCACAGAAGCAATCAATCAATCAGATTCCAAACTCTCCACCATGGCCAAGACTAAAGAGCTCTCCAAGGATGTCAGGGACAAGATTGTAGACCTACACAAGGCTGGAATGGGCTACAAGACCATCGCCAAGCAGCTTGGTGAGAAGGTGACAACAGTTGGTGCGATTATTCGCAAATGGAAGAAACACAAAATAACTGTCAATCTCCGTCGGCCTGGGGCTCCATGCAAGATCTCACCTCGTGGAGTTGCAATGATCATGAGAACGGTGAGGAATCAGCCCAGAACTACACGGGAGGATCTTGTCAATGATCTCAAGGCAGCTGGGACCATAGTCACCAAGAAAACAATTGGTAACACACTACGCCGTGAAGGACTGAAATCCTGCAGCGCCCGCAAGGTCCTCCTGCTCAAGAAAGCACATATACAGGCCCGTCTGAAGTTTGCCAATGAACATCTGAATGATTCAGAGGAGAACTGGGTGAAAGTGTTATGGTCAGATGAGACCAAAATGGAGCTCTTTGGCATCAACTCAACTCGCCGTGTTTGGAGGAGGAGGAATGCTGCCTATGACCCCAAGAACACCATCTCCACCATCAAACATGGAGGTGGAAACATTATGCTTTGGGGGTGTTTTTCTGCTAAGGGGACAGGACAACTTCACCGCATCAAAGGGACGATGGACGGGGCCATGTACCGTCAAATCTTGGGTGAGAACCTCCTTCCCTCAGCCAGGGCATTGAAAATGGGTCGTGGATGGGTATTCCAGCATGACAATGACCCAAAACACACAGCCAAGGCAACAAAGGAGTGGCTCAAGAAGATGCTGGCCTAGCCAGTCTCCAGACCTTAATCCCATAGAAAATCTGTGGAGGGAGATGAAGGTTCGAGTTGCCAAACGTCAGCCTCGAAACCTTAATGACTTGGAGAAGATCTGCAAAGAGGAGTGGGACAAAATCCCTCCTGAGATGTCTGCAAACCTGGTGGCCAACTACAAGAAACATCTGACCTCTGTGATTGCCAACAAGGGTTTTGCCACCAAGTACTAAGTCATGTTTTGCAGAGGGGTCAAATACTTATTTCCCTCATTAAAATGCAAATCAATTCATAACATTTTTAACATGCGTTTTTCTGGATTTTTTTGTTGTTATTCTGTCTCTCACTGTTCAAATAAACCTACCATTAAAATGATAGACTGATCATGTCTTTGTCAGTGGGCAAACATACAAAATCAGCAGGGGATCAAATACTTTTTTCGCTCACTGTACCTGCTGGAGCGCATACTACGGGTGGGTGTTGCTATGGTGACCAATGAGCTAAGATAAGGAGGGGATTTGCCTAGCAGTGATTTATAGATGGCCTGGAGCCAGTGGGTTTGGTGACGAATATGTAGTGAGGACCAGCCAACAAGAGCGTACAGGTCACAGTGGTGGGTAGTATATGGGGCTTTGGTGACAAAACGGATGGCACTGTGATAGACTACATCCAATTTGCGGAGTAGAGTGTTGGAGGCTATTTTGTAAACGACATCGCCGAAGTCAAGGTTCGGTAGGATAGTCAGTTTTACGAGGGCATGTTTGGCAGCATGAGTGAAGGAGGCATTGTTGCGAAATAGGAAGCAGATTCTAGATTTAACTTTGGATTGGATATGCTTAATGTGAGTCTGGAAGGAGAGTTTACAGTCTAACCAGACACCTAGGTATTTGTAGTTGTCCACATACTCCAGGTCAGACCCGTCGAGAGTAGTGATTCTAGTCGGGTGGGCGGGTGCCAGCAGCGTTCGATTGAAGAGCATGCATTTAGTTTTACTTGTGTTTAAGAGCAGTTGGAGGCTACGGAAGGAGTGTTGTATGGCATTGAAGCTCGTTTGGAGGTTTGTTAACACAGTGTCCAATGAAGGGCCAGATGTATACAAAATGGTGTCGTCTGCGTAGAGGTGGATCTGAGAGTCACCAGCAGCAAGAGCGACATCATTGATATACACAGATAAAAGAGTCGGCCCAAGAATTGAACCCTGTGGTACCCCCATAGAGACTGCCATAGGCCCAGACAACAGGCCCTCCGATTTAACACATTGAACTCTATCTGAGAAGTAGTTGGTGAACCAGGCGAGGCAGTCATTTGAGAAACCAAGGCTATTTAGTCTGCCAATAAGAATGCGGTGGTTGACAGTGTCGAAAGCCTTGGCCAGGTCGATGAAGATGGCTGCACAGTACTGTCTATTATCGATCGCGGTTATAATATCGTTTAGGACCTTGAGCGTGGCTGAGGTGCACCCATGACCAGCTCGGAAACCGGATTGCATAGCGGGGAAGGTACGTTGGGATTTGAAATGGTCGGTGATCTGTTTGTTAACTTGGCTTTCAAAAACTTTCGAAAGGCAGGGCAGGATGGATATAGGTCTGTAACAGTTTGGATCTATGAGGATATATTAAAGGCTTCACTGTTGACTGAGGAAGAGAAACTTAACTACACTGCCGTTAAAGATTTCATAGGGCAACACAACATTATATTTGAGAGAGCTAGGTTTAATGTGCGAGAACAGGAGCAGGGTGAAACAGCTGACACTTTTATCACAGCGGTTCACAAGCTAGTGGAACATTGTCAGTTTGGCACACTCAAGGAAGAACTGATCCGAAATCAGATTGTAGTGGGAATAAGAAATATCGAACTTTCTGAAAAGTTACAGTTGGATGCACAGCTTACCTTGTCCAAAGCTGTTAACCAGGTTAGGCAGAGTGAGATAGTAAAAAAACAGCAGGCAATGCTGTGCAGCGGCAGATCTATGCAGACTGAGTGAAGAGAGCGAGGAAATAGATGCGTTCTCATACCGTGCTAAAAAAAAACTGAGGGGAACGCAGAGACAGACGTGGAGAAAACAATCACACACAGCGCCAGTAGCCAGTTCAAGCGTTTGTGGCAAATGTGGGAAATCCCCTTTGCACAGCTGGAAAGATTGCCCAGGAAAGGATGAAGAATGCAGGAAATGTCACAGGAGAGGACACTTTTCAGCGGTCTGACGATCAAAGTTTTAAAAAATAAATTCCCAAAAGTTTTTCTGGCTTAGGAAGGCTACAAGGTGACTACAAAATCCGCCTGAAGAAGGATGCGGTCCCCTATGCCATTACCAACCCTCACCATGTGCCTATCCCTTTATTGGCCAAAGTAAAGGATGAGTTGGGGAGGATGGAAGAAATTGAGGCTGTGTCTAAAATAGAGAGTCCCACTGACTGGTGTGCAGGGATGGTGGTGGTCCCAAAAACCAATGGGGACATAAGGATCTGTGTGGACGTGACTAACTTGAATGAGGCACTCTGCAGAGAGAGACACATCTTACCATCAATGGAGCAGTCGCTGGCCCAGTTGGATGGCTCACAGGTCTTCACAAAGCTGAATGCCCGCTCAGGATTCTGGGAGATACCCCTGTCACCAGAGAGTAGGGCACTCACAACGTTTATAACACAGTTTGGCAGGTACTGTTTCAACGTTTTGCTATTTGGAATCGCTTCCGGTCCTGAGCATTTCCAAAGACACATGTCCCAGCTGTTGTGTGGGCTGAGTGGTATCATAGTCCATGCGGACGACGTGCTTGTGTGCGGACGGGACAGAGCAGAACATGAGGACTCACAGCAGTTCTGACCAGACTCCAGGAGATTGGCCTAACACTCAAAGAAAAATGCACCTTCTCACTGTCAGAGGTCTTGTTCTTGGGAAACAGAATCAGTGCAGCTGGAATAGAGCCGGACCCAGACAAGATCAGCGCCGTCACAGATATGCCCAACCCCCAGAACGTTGTTGAAGTCAGGACCTTCTTAGGCATGGCTACATATGTGGGTAAGTTCCTCCCACAGTTTTCAGACACAACTGAACCCCTGAGAGACTTATTAGCCAAAGAGAATGACTGGTCATGGGGTCACATGCAACAAAATCAAAGGAGACCTCACAGAGAGTGCTGGCCCAGTACCGTCCCCACGCTAAGACAAAGGTATCAGCACATGCATCATCTTTTGGGCTGGCGGCAGTCCTCACACAGCTGCAGGACAACATGGAGTGGTAGATAATGCGTTTAGATAATACTACAAGTATAGTATTCAGTGTGTGTCTTCCTGCAGGATACGGGGAGAGAGCTGGACAGGCTGTGCTCCTTCCTAGGTTTGTCTCCTTCAGCAGAGGAGAAGGAGAGGGTGAGAGGAGGAGTGCAGTTTGACAACATGAAGAAGAACAACATGGCCAACTACTCCACCGTCTCAATCATGGATTTCAAGATCTCTCCATTCATGCGAAAAGGTAGACTTCTCCATTTCTCCCCTATACCTCTCTCTCTGTCAGTCTTTCCCTCCTCCTTTCTCTATGTCCATCACCTTTTCTTTGCTCAAGATTATCTCTCTCGCGCTCTCTCTCTTGCTCTCTCTCTCTCTCCCACCCCCGGTCTCTCCAGGAAAGGTTGGTGACTGGAAGAACCATTTCACTGTGGCCCAGAGTGAGCAGTTTGATGAAGACTATAAGAAGAAGATGAAAAACACCACCGTACAGTTCCGCACTGTAGTCTAGGGGATGTGGTCAGGTTGATTGTTTGATTGTTTCTGGTCAGGTTGATTGATTGTTTATTTTAGCACATATGGACCTACGATAGCCTCGGCTGGGTTGTCAGGCTTCCATTGGTCCACAGTTAACTGGGTCATGGTGCTGAAATATACAGGGTGAGGATCATATTGTATTATATCCTAGAGTGTGAATGAGAAAGATCATGAAGTGTCATATAATAAAACATTTGAGAATGATTGATGCTACTTTGAGATATGAGCTAGAGTCAAATGAGGACATGCTGCACAGTACCTTCTTATGAATGTGAGCTATTTGTAAATCCTCTTGCCTGGTCTGTTTTTCAGTGTCTGAGAAAAAAACAGTGAGAGTCGATACAGTAATAAATATGTGAATGGAGAAGAACATTATTAAGCATCCAGCATTGTTTTATGCAGTTTCAAAAATATATATACTTTGAAACTATGTAACAATTCTTACTCTTATAGTGTATACAGTATGACTAAATGTAATACATTGACGTTCATGTACTTGTATTTAAATTAATATGAAATGTCTCTATGACCCAAAGCAGTTAGAGAGCCAGTAATTTGCACATATACACACTCACCCTCCACTTTTCACAGCTGTCTCAGCTGCATGTTCACTATGCCTGTGAAAAGCATAACACCTGCACTGTAAAAAGTGGGATGGTGCTGTTGTTTATCTGAAGTGCTTCTACTGATTGGAATTATAGAAAATTACACTTTGGTTCTTCCAACCTATTTTATTCAATTTGGCTGAAATCAATTAACATTTTTTTTAGATCAGTGTGATTTTTTAAATATAATGAAAGCTTCTAAATTGCTTTCAACACCTCATGCGCATGCACATTGTGTAGCGGTAGGGGCAATGTAGTGGTGGCAGCTTATCAGAAGAGTTGGAGGCGTGGCTTATTGGGGTTTTTTTTTTTGTGAGAGTGAATGTCATTCCTGTTAATGTGGTCTATTGTGTTTGATATTAAATGTTAAACTTGTACACTGCCAGCATATGTAATGATACTTACATAAATGCATATGGTACTAAAGTGCCTGATAAGGCTTTATGTTGAAGTAGCCAATGCTTGGTTATGATCTCCATAACTACTGTATGAAACTTTACCTGTGACATCTGACCTCCTCACCATACCTCCTTACCAAGTAACATTACAGTCTCTTTTGTGTGATTGTGGGCATCTAACAAGCAACCGAGCGATCAATGGTTGATGCAGTAGGTGAAAGATATGTGTACAGACTGTAAAAAAGCTGCAGCTCATTCAGAATGCAGCTGCTAGAATGTTAACCAGGACCAAGAGAACGGAGCACATCACTCCGGTTCTTAAATCTTTACATTGGCTTCCAGTCAGTTACAGAATTGATTTCAAAGTGGTGCTTTTAGTTTATAAATCTTTGAATGGTTTAGGACCCGAGTACATGTGTGATATGTTTGAAGAATATAAACCGAGCAGGGCTCTTAGATCCATGAACACAGGTCAGCTAGTAGAGCCCAGAGCCCAAACTAAACATGGAGAAGCTGCGTTTGTCCTTATAGCTTCCTATGTTTTTATCCCATTTTTAATTTTTAATCTTTATATGTTTGTTTTTTTATTGTATTTTTATTATTATGATGTTTTCATTATTTTTGATAAACATCTTTGTAAAGCACATTGAATTGCTTCGATGTATGAATTGTGCTATATAAATAAACTTGCTTGCTTACATGCCTCACACAGTGCACAGGCACACACTCTGCAGCCTAGTCTCCGGTCAGGTAAGAGTGAGACACACCCACACTGTTGAAAAGTGATTTAGACAGTGTGTTGAAGACTGTGCAGGAGGTTTAAGATCACAGAAAGACACTATCTACCACAGAACACTGCCCATTCTGTAGCCTATCAGGTGAGTGTGTGTGTGTGTGTGTGCGTGTGTGCTTTGAAGGAAGGTGGGTGATTGAGTATTTGCCGAGGAGGTCTTAGTTGAGTAATTTTACATGTAACTAAGATGTTTGGTGCAGTATTTCGCAAGTGAAAAAATGTGCATGAAAACGAGTCGTCTGTCATTAAATGACAAAAAACACTTAATTGAAGAATCCCTACTGTTGACCAATCACCGAACTTCGACTAGCCTCAAGAAAAAATGTGTGCTCGAACAGCCCCGCCCAAAAAACGCTGAACGCTGTCGATCACCAAAACGGACAAAAATGTCACAAAATGTTGTCATAATATATGCGCAAACTGTTTCATCTGGGAAGCACATGGCAAGCTTTAGGTAATAATAACTTTGCTCAATCCTGTGTCCAGCAGACATTATAATGGTCAGCTGCCACCTAGTGGTATATGTCTGGTAATGTAAGTTCCCCCTGGTGATTTAGTAGTGACACATGAGATACTGTGAAAGAGAGCAGAAAACCCCTCAGCTCTGGAGTAGAGCCAGAACAAACCAGACCCTGAAAAACAAAAGAGGGAAGAGAGAATGGGGGAGGAGACAGGAAAGGAGGAGCACTGAGACTAAAAGAGGAGACATTTTGTAAGCAGTGCATTCACCCTGAGGTATCTTACTCAGAAAGAGCAGGGTAAGTCAGTTATTTTGGTATGTAGGAATTACTATCATGTGTAGTACGTTGTTACTGTCATCGTTTAAAGAAACATTAAGACTTAGTCTTTGTTAACATTTGTAGGCGAGCATATCAATGGAGCGTTATTCCTCTCTATGTTTGAATTATAGAACCATTCGGATCGCTAAAATATTCTGTTCAAACTTCACATCCAAGCATAAACACTCCTGTGGTGATCCTTGACCAAATACATGTCCCACTTTTACAGATGGAGCTGCCACCTCGACCAAAACTCTTTGACTTCCATGGAGTCTCCATGACCAACTACTTCACTGACAACTGGGACAATGTACAGAACTTCCAGGCCAGACCAGATGACATTCTCATCGCTACCTACCCCAAAGCAGGTCTCTCTCAGTCTGATGTTGATGTTTCATTAAATATAGTGTTTTGGTTAGTGAATGACTGTGTATCTGTCCCCTATCTGTATCCCTCTCTTAGGTACCACATGGGTCTCCTACATTCTAGACCTGCTTTATTTTGGCCAGACAGACCCTGAGCGTCAGACACCCATCTTTGAGAAGGTTCCTTTTCTGGAGTTGCTCATTCCTCTTTACCCTCCAGGTTAGAATAGAGAATTTGATAAATTAAATCATACTTCTCTCATTTTGCCATTTCTTTGTTAAAAGTTAGATAAAGTCCTAAGCAGTAATTCCGTTTTTTATATCATGACAGGAACGGCTGAACAGTGTTAATATCCATCAAACAGCTACTTTGTTATTCTAATGTTTATCCTAGGGGTGGAGGTGCTGGACAACTTAACCACCTCTCCTCGCCTCATCAAGACTCACCTCCCAGTCCAGTTTCTGCCCAAGTCCTTCTGGGAGCAGAACTGCAGGGTACAGTATTTGTAACTTCTCCTCTATGTTTCTCCACTATATAGCCGCTATATATAAATGCAATCTCTCTCTCTACAGATAGTGTATGTGGCCCGTAATGCCAAGGACAATGCAGTGTCTTATTTCCACTTTGACCGCATGAACCAGGCCCAGCCAGAGCCAGGAGACTGGAACAACTTCTTACAGAGATTCATGGATGGAAAGAGTGAGTGAACGAGAGAATAAAGGAGTGATTGAATGAGTAAGTGATAATAGTCCCCATGCACTCCATGAATTTGTCTACTCTGCACTTGCTCAGTGGTGTTTGGTTCCTGGTATGACCATGTGACTGGCTGGTGGGAGAAGAAACAGACTCACTCCAAAATCCTCTACCTCTTCTATGAGGACATGGTTGAGGTGAGTAGAATACTGATGCTATGTGTGTGTTACAGTATTATTGAGATGTGTCTAATGATCTCAGTGCACACATATGCTCAAGAGCCATACTAACTTCTGCTCTAGGAGGTTAGCTGTTTCCACTGTCGATATCTAGTGTGTATGTGTTCCTACAGGATACGGGGAGAGAGCTAGACAGGCTGTGCTCCTTCCTAGGTTTGTCTACTTCAGCAGAGGAGAAGGAGAGGGTGAGAGGAGGAGTGCAGTTTGATACTATGAAGAAGAACACCATGGCCAACTACTCCAAGGACCTTGTGATGGACTTTAAGATATCCCCCTTCATGCGCAAAGGTGAGTGTGTGTGTGTGTGTGTGTGTGTGTGTGTGTGTGTGTGTGTGTGTGTGTGTGAGAGAGAGAGAGAATGAGAGAGAGAAATATTAAACTGCTGGAGCTCAGCTCTTCCAGCTATCACAACAGACACACATGAACACACTAAGAGACACAACGTCATCACAGACACCATAACATTTGTGCTGGTACCTGGTGTGGAGACATTGGAATACTTTCTTCTGATCTACTGAACTTTCAAACTATCATTATACCTGTCTGTCTGTCACACTCCAGGAAAGGTTGGTGACTGGAAGAACCATTTCACTGTGGCCCAGAGTGAACAGTTTGATGAAGACTATAAGAAGAAGATGAAAAACACCACCGTACAGTTCCGCACTGTAGTCTAGGGGATGTGGTCAGGTTGATTGTTTGATTATTTCTGGTCAGGTTGATTGATTGTTTATTTTAGCACATATAGACCTACGATAGCCTCGGCTTGGTTGTCAGGCTTCCATTGGTCCACAGTTAACTGGGTCATGGTGCTGAAATATACAGGGTGAGGATCATATTGTATTATATCCTAGAGTGTGAATGAGGAAGATCATGAAGTGTCATATAATAAAACATTTGAGAATGATTGATGCTACTTTGAGATATGAGCTAGAGTCAAATGAGGACATGCTGCACAGTACCTTCTTATGAATGTGAGCTATTTGTAAATCCTCTTGCCTGGTCTGTTTTTCAGTGTCTGAGAAAAAAACAGTGAGAGTCGATACAGTAATAAATATGTGAATGGAGAATAACATTATTAAGCATCCAGCATTGATTTATGCATTTTCAAAAATATATATACTTTGAAACTATGTAACAATTCATACTCTTATACTGTATACAGTATGAATGAACATAATAGATTGATGTTCATGTACTTGTATTTAAATTCATATGAAATGTCTCTATGACCCAAAGCAGTTAGAGAGCCAGTAATTTGCACATATACACACTCACCCTCCACTTTTCACAGCTGTCTCAGCTGTATGTTCACTATGCCTGTGAAAAGCATAACACCTGCACTGTAAAAAGTGGAATGGTGCTGTTGTTCATCTGAAGTGCTTCTACTGATTGGAATTATAGAAAATTACGCTTTCGTTCTTCCAACCTATTTTATTCAATTTGGCTGAAATCAAATAACGATTTTTTCTAGATCAGTGTGATTTTTTAAACATAATGAAAGCTTCTGAATTGCTTTCAACACCTCATGCACATGCACATTGTGTAGCGGTAGGGGCAATGTAGTGGTGGCAGCTTATCAGAAGAGTTGGGGGCGTGGCTTATTGTGGGCTTGGCTTTTTTTTTGTGAGAGTGAATGTCATTCCTGTTAATGTGGTCTATTGTGTTTGATATTAAATGTTAAACTTGTACACTGCCAGCATCTGTAATGATACTTACATAAATGCATGTGGTACTAAAGTGCCTGATAAGGCTTTATGTTGAAGTAGCCAATGCTTGGTTATGATCTCCATAACTACTGTATGAAACTTTACCTGTGACATCTGACCTCCTCACCAGACCTCCTTACCAAGTAACATTTCAGAGTCTCTTTTGTATGTGATTGTGGGCGTCTAAAAAGCAACCGAGCGATCAAAGGTTGATGCAGTATGTGAAAGACATGTGTACACGCCTCACACAGTGCACAGGCACACAATCTGCAGCCTAGTCTCCGGTCAGGTAAGAGTGAGACACACCCACACTGTTGAAAAGTGATTTAGACAGTGTGTTGAAGACTGTGCAGGAAGTTTAAGATCACAGAAAGACAAAGACACTATCTACCACAGAACACTGCACATTCTGTAGCCTATCAGGTGAGTGAGTGTGTGTGTGTGTGAGCGTATGTGCTTTGAAGGAAGGTGGGTGATTGAGTATGTTTGGGGTCAGGTCAGATGTGTAAAGGCATCTGCATACATAGGTTCGGTTTGTTCTTAGCAGAACTCGGCAAGGTAAAGCCTCGCATACTTCCTTAAAAAGCCATTCGCTTGAAAAACAAGAAACAAGCAGAAATATTACAGTTTGTAAGCCAGTACACCTCCTCAAAATACTCAGAATTAATCTAAGATAATTCAAGAATTTTGACGCTTTTGCCGAGGAGGTCTTAGTTGAGTAATTTTACATGTAACTAAGATGTTTGGTGCAGTATTTCGCAAGTGAAAAAATGTGCATGAAAACGAGTCGTCTGTCATTGAATGACAAAAAACACTTAATTGAAGAATCCCTACTGTTGACCAATCACCGAACTTCGACTAGCCTCAAGAAAAAATGTGTGCTCGAACAGCCCCGCCCAAAAAACGCTGAACGCTGTCGAACACCAAAACGAACAAAAATGTCACAAAATGTTGTCATAATATATGCGCAAACTGTTTCATCTGGGAAGCACATGGCAACCTTTAGGTAATAATAACTTTGCTCAATCCTGTGTCCAGCAGACATTATAATGGTCAGCTGCCACCTAGTGGTATATGTCTGGTAATGTAAGTGCCCCCTGGTGATTTAGTAGTGACACATGAGATACTGTGAAAGAGAGCAGAAAACCCCTCAGCTCTGGAGTAGAGCCAGAACAAACCAGACCCTGAAAAACAAAAGAGGGAAGAGAGAATGGGGGAGGAGACAGGAAAGGAGGAGCACTGAGACTAAAAGAGGAAACATTTTGTAAGCAGTGCATTCACCCTGAGGTATCTTACTCAGAAAGAGCAGGGTAAGTCAGTTATTTTGGTATGTAGGAATTACTATCATGTGTAGTACGTTGTTACTGTCATCGTTTAAAGAAACATTAAGACTTAGTCTTTGTTAACATTTGTAGGCGAGCATATCAAAGGAGCGTTATTCCTCTCTATGTTTGAATTATAGAACCATTCGGATCGCTAAAATATTCTGTTCAAACTTCACATCCAAGCATAAACACTCCTGTGGTGATCCTTGACCAAATACATGTCCCACTTTTACAGATGGAGCTGCCACCTCGACCAAAACTCTTTGACTTCCATGGAGTCTCCATGACCAACTACTTCACTGACAACTGGGACAATGTACAGAACTTCCAGGCCAGACCAGATGACATTCTCATCGCTACCTACCCCAAAGCAGGTCTCTCTCAGTCTGATGTTGATGTTTCATTAAAGATAGTGTTTTGGTTAGTGAATGACTGTGTATCTGTCCCCTATCTGTATCCCTCTCTTAGGTACCACATGGGTCTCCTACATTCTAGACCTGCTTTATTTTGGCCAGACAGACCCTGAGCGTCAGACACCCATCTTTGAGAAGGTTCCTTTTCTGGAGTTGCTCATTCCTCTTTACCCTCCAGGTTAGAATAGAGAATTGGATAAATTAAATCATACTTCTCTCATTTTACCATTTCTTTGTAAAAAGTTAGATAAAGTCCTAAGCAGTAATTCCGTTTTTTATATCATGACAGGAACGGCTGAACAGTGTTAATATCCATCAAACAGCTACTTTGTTATTTTAATGTTTATCCTAGGGGTGGAGGTGCTGGACAACTTAACTACCTCTCCTCGCCTCATCAAGACTCACCTCCCAGTCCAGTTGCTGCCCAAGTCCTTCTGGGAGCAGAACTGCAGGGTACAGTATTTGTAACTTCTCCTCTATGTTTCTCCACTATATAGCCACTATATATAAATGCAATCTCTCTCTCTACAGATAGTGTATGTGGCCCGTAATGCCAAGGACAATGCAGTGTCTTATTTCCACTTTGACCGCATGAACCAGGCCCAGCCAGAGCCAGGAGACTAGAACAACTTCTTACAGAGATTCATGGATGGAAAGAGTGAGTGAACGAGAGAATAAAGGAGTGATTGAATGAGTAAGTGATAATAGTCCCCATGCACTCCATGAATTTGTCTACTCTGCACTTGCTCAGTGGTGTTTGGTTCCTGGTATGACCATGTGACTGGCTGGTGGGAGAAGAAACAGACTCACTCCAAAATCCTCTACCTCTTCTATGAGGACATGGTTGAGGTGAGTAGAATACTGATGCTATGTGTGTGTTACAGTATTATTGAGATGTGTCTAATGATCTCAGTGCACACATATGCTCAAGAGCCATACTAACTTCTGCTCTAGGAGGTTAGCTGTTTCCACTGTCGATATCTAGTGTGTATGTGTTCCTACAGGATACGGGGAGAGAGCTAGACAGGCTGTGCTCCTTCCTAGGTTTGTCTACTTCAGCAGAGGAGAAGGAGAGGGTGAGAGGAGGAGTGCAGTTTGATACTATGAAGAAGAACACCATGGCCAACTACTCCAAGGACCTTGTGATGGACTTTAAGATATCCCCCTTCATGCGCAAAGGTGAGTGTGTGTGTGTGTGTGTGTGTGTGTGTGTGTGTGTGTGAGAGAGAGAGAGAATGAGAGAGAGAAATATTAAACTGCTGGAGCTCAGCTCTTCCAGCTATCACAACAGACACACATGAACACACTAAGAGACACAACGTCATCACAGACACCATAACATTTGTGCTGGTACCTGGTGTGGAGACATTGGAATACTTTCTTCTGATCTACTGAACTTTCAAACTATCATTATACCTGTCTGTCTGTCACACTCCAGGAAAGGTTGGTGACTGGAAGAACCATTTCACTGTGGCCCAGAGTGAACAGTTTGATGAAGACTATAAGAAGAAGATGAAAAACACCACCGTACAGTTCCGCACTGTAGTCTAGGGGATGTGGTCAGGTTGATTGTTTGATTATTTCTGGTCAGGTTGATTGATTGTTTATTTTAGCACATATAGACCTACGATAGCCTCGGCTTGGTTGTCAGGCTTCCATTGGTCCACAGTTAACTGGGTCATGGTGCTGAAATATACAGGGTGAGGATCATATTGTATTATATCCTAGAGTGTGAATGAGGAAGATCATGAAGTGTCATATAATAAAACATTTGAGAATGATTGATGCTACTTTGAGATATGAGCTAGAGTCAAATGAGGACATGCTGCACAGTACCTTCTTATGAATGTGAGCTATTTGTAAATCCTCTTGCCTGGTCTGTTTTTCAGTGTCTGAGAAAAAAACAGTGAGAGTCGATACAGTAATAAATATGTGAATGGAGAATAACATTATTAAGCATCCAGCATTGATTTATGCATTTTCAAAAATATATATACTTTGAAACTATGTAACAATTCATACTCTTATACTGTATACAGTATGAATAAACATAATAGATTGATGTTCATGTACTTGTATTTAAATTCATATGAAATGTCTCTATGACCCAAAGCAGTTAGAGAGCCAGTAATTTGCACATACACACACTCACCCTCCACTTTTCACAGCTGTCTCAGCTGCATGTTCACTATGCCTGTGAAAAGCATAACACCTGCACTGTAAAAAGTGGGATGGTGCTGTTGTTCATCTGAAGTGCTTCTACTGATTGGAATTATAGAAAATTACGCTTTCGTTCTTCCAACCTATTTTATTCAATTTGGCTGAAATCAAATAACGATTTTTTCTAGATCAGTGTGATTTTTTAAACATAATGAAAGCTTCTGAATAGCTTTCAACACCTCATGCACATGCACATTGTGTAGCGGTAGGGGCAATATAGTGGTGGCAGCTTATCAGAAGAGTTGGGGGCGTGGCTTATTGTGGGCTTGGCTTTTTTTTTGTGAGAGTGAATGTCATTCCTGTTAATGTGGTCTATTGTGTTTGATATTAAATGTTAAACTTGTACACTGCCAGCATCTTTAATGATACTTACATAAATGCATGTGGTACTAAAGTGCCTGATAAGGCTTTATGTTGAAGTAGCCAATGCTTGGTTATGATCTCCATAACTACTGTATGAAACTTTACCTGTGACATCTGACCTCCTCACCATACCTCCTTACCAAGTAACATTTCAGAGTCTCTTTTGTATGTGATTGTGGGCGTCTAACAAGCAACCGAGCGATCAAAGGTTGATGCAGTATGTGAAAGACATGTGTACACGCCTCACACAGTGCACAGGCACACAATCTGCAGCCTAGTCTCCGGTCAGGTAAGAGTGAGACACACCCACACTGTTGAAAAGTGATTTAGACAGTGTGTTGAAGACTGTGCAGGAAGTTTAAGATCACAGAAAGACAAAGACACTATCTACCACAGAACACTGCCCATTCTGTAGACTATCAGGTGAGTGAGTGTGTGTGTGTGTGAGCGTATGTGCTTTGAAGGAAGGTGGGTGATTGAGTATGTTTGGGGTCAGGTCAGATGTGTAAAGGCATCTGCATACATAGGTTCGGTTTGTTCTTAGCAGAACTCGGCAAGGTGAAGCCTCGCATACTTCCTTAAAAAGCCATTCGCTTGAAAAACAAGAAACAAGCAGAAATATTACAGTTTGTAAGCCAGTACACCTCCTCAAAATACTCAGAATTAATCTAAGATAATTCAAGAATTTTGACGCTTTTGCCGAGGTCGTCTTAGTTGAGTAATTTTACATGTAACTAAGATGTTTGGTGCAGTATTTCGCAAGTGAAAAAATTTGCATGAAAACGAGTCGTCTGTCATTGAATGACAAAAAACACTTAATTGAAGAATCCCTACTGTTGACCAATCACCGAACTTCGACTAGCCTCAAGAAAAAATGTGTGCTCGAACAGCCCCGCCCAAAAAACGCTGAACGCTGTCGAACACCAAAACGAACAAAAATGTCACAAAATGTTGTCATAATATATGCGCAAACTGTTTCATCTGGGAAGCACATGGCAACCTTTAGGTAATAATAACTTTGCTCAATCCTGTGTCCAGCAGACATTATAATGGTCAGCTGCCACCTAGTGGTATATGTCTGGTAATGTAAGTGCCCCCTGGTGATTTAGTAGTGACACATGAGATACTGTGAAAGAGAGCAGAAAACCCCTCAGCTCTGGAGTAGAGCCAGAACAAACCAGACCCTGAAAAACAAAAGAGGGAAGAGAGAATGGGGGAGGAGACAGGAAAGGAGGAGCACTGAGACTAAAAGAGGAGACATTTTGTAAGCAGTGTATTCACCCTGAGGTATCTTACTCAGAAAGAGCAGGGTAAGTCAGTTATTTTGGTATGTAGGAATTACTATCATGTGTAGTACGTTGTTACTGTCATCGTTTAAAGAAACATTAAGACTTAGTCTTTGTTAACATTTGTAGGCGAGCATATCAATGGAGCGTTATTCCTCTCTATGTTTGAATTATAGAACCATTCGGATCGCTAAAATATTCTGTTCAAACTTCACATCCAAGCATAAACACTCCTGTGGTGATCCTTGACCAAATACATGTCCCACTTTTACAGATGGAGCTGCCACCTCGACCAAAACTCTTTGACTTCCATGGAGTCTCCATGACCAACTACTTCACTGACAACTGGGACAATGTACAGAACTTCCAGGCCAGACCAGATTACATTATCATCGCTACCTACCCCAAAGCAGGTCTCTCTCAGTCTGATGTTGATGTTTCATTAAAGATAGTGTTTTGGTTAGTGAATGACTGTGTATCCGTCCCCTATCTGTATCCCTCTCTTAGGTACCACATGGGTCTCCTACATTCTAGACCTGCTGTATTTTGGCCAGACAGACCCTGAGCGTCAGACACCCATCTTTGAGAAGGTTCCTTTTCTGGAGTTGCTCATTCCTCTTTACCCTCCAGGTTAGAATAGAGAATTGGATAAATTAAATCATACTTCTCTCATTTTGCCATTTCTTTGTTAAAAGTTAGATAAAGTCCTAAGCAGTAATTCCATTTTTTATATCATGACAGGAACGGCTGAACAGTGTTAATATCCATCAAACAGCTACTTTGTTATTCTAATGTTTATCCTAGGGGTGGAGGTGCTGGACAACTTAACTACCTCTCCTCGCCTCATCAAGACTCACCTCCCAGTCCAGTTGCTGCCCAAGTCCTTCTGGGAGCAGAACTGCAGGGTACAGTATTTGTAACTTCTCCTCCATGTTTCTCCACTATATAGCCGCTATATATAAATGCAATCTCTCTCTCTGCAGATAGTGTATGTGGCCCGTAATGCCAAGGACAATGCAGTGTCTTATTTCCACTTTGACCGCATGAACCAGGCCCAGCCAGAGCCAGGAGACTGGAACAACTTCTTACAGAGATTCATGGATGGAAAGAGTGAGTGAACGAGAGTATAAAGGAGTGATTGAATGAGTAAGTGATAATAGTCCCCATGCACTCCATGAATTTGTCTACTCTGCACTTGCTCAGTGGTGTTTGGTTCCTGGTATGACCATGTGACTGGCTGGTGGGAGAAGAAACAGACTCACTCCAAAATCCTCTACCTCTTCTATGAGGACATGGTTGAGGTGAGTAGAATACTGATGCAATGTGTGTGTTGCAGTATTATTGAGATTTGTCTAATGATCTCAGTGCACACATATGCTCAAGAGCCATACTAACTGCTGCTCTAGGAGGTTAGCTGTTTCCACTGTCGATATCTAGTGTGTATGTGTTCCTGCAGGATACGGGGAGAGAGCTAGACAGGCTGTGCTCCTTCCTAGGTTTGTCTCCTTCAGCAGAGGAGAGGGAGAGGGTGAGAGGAGGAGTGCAGTTTGACAACATGAAAAAGAACAACATGGCCAACTACTCCAAGGACCTTGTGATGGACTTTAAGATATCCCCCTTTATGCGCAAAGGTGAGTGTGTGTGTGTGTGTGTGTGTGTGTGTGTGTGTGTGTGTGTGTGTGTGTGTGTGTGAGTGAGAGAGAGAATGAGAGAGAGAAATAAATATTAATCTGCTGGAGCTCAGCTCTTCCAGCTATCACAACAGACACACATGAACACACTGAGAGACACAACGTCATCACAGACACCATAACATTTGTGCTGGTACCTGGTGTGGAGACATTGGAATACTTTCTTCTGATCTACTGAACTTTCAAACTATCATTATACCTGTCTGTCTGTCACACTCCAGGAAAGGTTCGTGACTGGAAGAACCATTTCACTGTGGCCCAGAGTGAACAGTTTAATGAAGACTATAAGAAGAAGATGAAAAACACTCCGCTGTGATCAGGTGGTGATGAAGGAGTCAGGCGCAGGAGGGTAAATCACAGAATAATAGGCTTTAATCCGCAAAATACAGGTTTACGCAGAAATGCGTCAAACACACTCCAGGGCACAAAACAGGCGCACTGGAATATACAAGGCATACGGGAAAAATACTCCAGTCGATACACAATACATGAGCTCCACCGAGCTTCACTAACCTCCACAAATAAACAATCACCCACAAGGACAAGGGGACAGAGGGAACACTTATACACAGACTAATTAGGGGAATAGAACCAGTTGTGTGTGATTGACAAGACAATTGTGATGATGATTGGGGCGGCAGTGGTTAGTACTTCGGTGACGACGAACGCCGAAGCCTGCCCGAACAAGGAGGGGAGGAAGCCTTGGTGGAAGTCGTGACAGTACCCCCCCCTTGACGCACGGTTCTAGCAGCGCACCGACCCCGGCCTCGGGGACGGCCAGGAGGACGCTGAGTAGGGCGAGCCAGATGGCGACGGTGGAAATCCTGTAACATGGAGGGATCGAGGATATCCCTCACCGGGACCCAGCACCGTTCTTCCGGACCGTACCCCTCCCACTCCACGAGGTACTGAAGGCCCCCCACCCGACGCCTCGAATCCAGGATGGCACGGACAGAGTACGCCGGGGCCCCCTCGATGTCCAGAGGAGGTGGAGGAACCTCCTGCACCTCAGACTCCTGGAGCGGACCAACCACCACCGGCCTGAGGAGAGACACATGAAACGAGGGGTTAATACGGTAATCAGGGGAAAGTAACAACCTATACGTAACCGCGTTGATTCTCCTCAGGACTTTGAACGGCCCCACAAACCACGGGCTCAGCTTCCGGCAGGGCAGGCGGAGGGGAAGATTCCGGGTCGAGAGCCAGACCCGATCCCCTGGTACGAAGACCAGGGCCTCCCTGTGGTGACGGTCAGCGTTGGCCTTCTGACGACGCACGGCGTGCTGGAGGTGAACGTGGGCAGCGTCCCACGTCTCCTCCGTGCGCCGAAACCAGTCATCCACCGCAGGAGCCTCGGTCTGGCTCTGGTGTCACGCTGCCAGAACCGGTTGGTAACCTAAAACACATTGGAATGGTGTTAGGTTAGTAGAGGAGTGGCGGAGAGAGTTCTGGGCATATTCTGCCCATGGCAAGAACACCGACCACTCCCCCGGCCGATCCTGGCAGTAGGACCGCAGGAACCTACCCACATCCTGATTTACACATTCCACCTGCCCATTACTCTCGGGGTGGAACCCAGAGGTCAGGCTGACCGAGACCCCCAGACGTTCCATGAACGCCTTCCAGACCTTGGATGTGAACTGGGGACCTCGGTCAGACACTATATCCTCTGGTACCCCGTAGTGCCGAAAGACGTGTGTAAACAGGGCCTCCGCAGTTTGCAGAGCCTTGGGGAGACCGGGCAGAGGAAGGAGGCGGCAGGCTTTAGAAAAGCGGTCCACAACGACCAGGATGGTGGTGTTACCTTGGGAGAGGGGAAGATCAGTTAGAAAATCCACACTTAGGTGAGACCATGGTCGTTGTGGAACTGGTAAAGGTTGTAACTTACCAGCTGGGAGGTGCCTAGGTGCCTTACTCTGGGCGCACACGGAGCAGGAGGAGACATACACCCTCACGTCCTTAGTCAAGGTATGCCACCAGTATTTTCTGGTCAGGCAGCGCACTGTACGGCCGATACCTGGGTGACCAGAGGAGGGTGACGTGTGTGCCCAGTAGTTCAGACGATCACGGACAAGAGCAGGCATGTACTGTAGCCCATCTGGACACTGAGGTGAAGAGGGATCCATGCGTAATGCCTGCTCTATATCCGTGTCCATCGCCCATACTACCGGCGCCACAAAGCAGGAGGCCGGCAGTATGAGAGTGTTGTCTCTGGGCCTCTCCTCTGTGTCATACAGCCGTGACAGCGTGTCTACCTTCACGTTCTTCGTACCCGGGATGTATGATAGAGTGAAATCAAACCGGGTGAAGAATAGGGCCCACCTGGCCTGGCGAGGATTCAGCCTCCTCGCTGCCCGGATGTACTCCAGGTTACGGTGGTCCGTCCAGACGAGGAAAGGGTGTTTTGCCCCCTCGAGCCAATGCCTCCACACGGTCAAAGCTCGGACAACAGCCAACACCTCCCGATCAACAACGCCGTAGTTCTGCTCCGCCGGGCTGAGCTTCTTCGAAAATAACGCACAGGGGCGGAGCTTGGGTGGTGTACTCGAGCGTTGAGACAGGACAGCTCCTATCCCAACCTCAGACGCATCCACCTCTACTACGAACGGTAGTGATGAATCGGGGTGGGCCAGTACTGGGGCTGAGGTGAACAGACCCCGCAGTTTGTTGAAGGCTAGGTCAGCCTCAGCAGACCAGCGGAGCTTGGATGGCCCACCCTTCAACAGGGAGGTAATGGGAGCTGCGACCTTGCCAAAGCCCCGGATAAACCTCCGATAATAGTTGGCAAAGCAAAGGAAGCGCTGCACCTCCTTAACCGTGGTTGGAGTTGGCCAATTACGCACGGCTGAAATGCCTCCCTCAATCTCCACACCTGAGGTGGAAATGCAGTATCCAAGAAAGGAGACGGACTGCTGCAAAAACATACACTTCTCTGCCTTAGCATAAAGGTCATTTTCCAACAATTGGGCCAGCACCTTGCGAACCAGGGACACATGCTCGGCGCGCGTAGCGGAATACACCAGGATGTCATCGATGTAGACCACAACACCACGACCCAGCATGTCCCGAAACACCTTGTTCACAAAGGACTGGAAAACTGAGGGAGCATTCATCAAACCATAGGGCATCACCAGGTATTCATAATGCCCCGTGGTTGTGCTGAATGCTGTCTTCTACTCATCTCCCTCTCGGATACGCACCAGGTTGTACGCACTCCTGAGATCTAATTTGGTGAAGAAGTACGCCCCATGCATTGATTCAATCACTGAAGGAATGAGAGGGAGAGGATAACTAAATCTTATCGTCTCCCTGTTCAGTGGTCGATAATCAATGCACGGGCGCAGACCTCCGTCCTTCTTCTTCACAAAAAAGAAACTTGAGGAGGCGGGTGAAGTGGAGGGACGTATATACCCCTGGCGCAGGGACTCGGTGACATATTTTTCCATAGCCACCGTTTCAGCCTGTGACAGGGCGTATATATGACTCCTGGAAGGTACAGCGTCTACCCGGAGGTTTATTGCGCAATCCCCCGCCCGATGAGGTGGTAATTTAGTCGCCTGCGTTTTAGAGAACGCTTGCGCCAGTTCAAGGTATTCAGGGGTAATGCGCACGGTGGAGGTACTGTCTGGACTTTCCACTGTGGTTGCACCAACGGAAATACCTAGACACCTACCCTGACACTCTCGCAACCACCCCGTGAGAACCCTCTGCGGCCATGAGAAGGTGGGGTTGTGGAGTGCTAGCCAAGGGATACCTAATACCACAGGGAAAGCAGGGGACTCAATAATGGAAAAAGTAACCTGCTCACAATGAGTCTCCTGGGTAATCATGGTGACTGGTGCAGTAACTTCCTTAACCAACCTGGACACTAATGTTCGACTATCAAGTGCTCTGATGGGGCGTGGAATGGATAGGAGAATCAATGGAATGCCTATACGGTGTGTGAATGCCCTGAATCGACTAGTGCCTTACACTGGGGAACTACCGTGTGCTCAGGAATAGAGACAAGTATTTTACAATGCGCAGCAGAGGGCTCTGAACGAGTGTGGGTGTTCGATACCTGGGGTGATGCAAGAGGGCCCTGCCTGCCGCCTCCAAACCCAGAAGAGCGTTGACGACAACGTGTGGTGAAATGTCCCTTCGCGCCACCAGTGTGGCACTGGTGCTGTCCTACTCCGCTCTCTCGGCCAGCAGCTCCACCCAGCTCCATCGGCTCGGGATCCGAGTCGTCCGGGGTGGAAACGGGCAGACCTCCTCCAGGACATCCTCTGGTTGCCAGCAAGTTGTCCAAACGAATGGCCATGTCCACCAGTTGTGAGAAGGACAACATGGTGTCATGGCAGGCTAGCTCCCGTCGGACGTCCTCTCGCAGATGGCACCGGAACTGGTCGATCAGGGCCCGCTCGTTACACCCGGACCCCGCTGCCAGAGTGCGAAACTCCAATGTGAAGTCCTGCGCAGTCCTCGTCCCCTGCCTCAGGTGGACCAGCCGCTCGCCCGCCTCTCGACCCTCGGGCGGGTGATCGAAGACCGCCCGGAAGAGGTGAGCGAACTCCCCGTAGTTCTCCAACGTGGCTCCTCCTTCGTTCCACACCGCGTTGGCCCACTCCAGGGCTTTCCCCGATAGGCAGGAGACGAGGGCGGACACCTTCTCCCGCTCCGATGGAACCGGCCGGATGCTGGAGAATTAGAGCTCCAGTTGGAGAAGGAATCCTTGGCACAGCGCCGCTGTCCCGTCGAACTCCCCTGGTCGGAATATCTGGATCCCTCCGGGTGCTGGGGTGTAGGTTGCGGGATCCGGTTGACCAGCTGGTCTCGACGGATCGGGCTCTCTCCTCTCCAGGCATTGGACGACCTGAAGAACCCGACCCATCGCTTCACCCAAGCTGGCTAGCATAGTTGAATGCTCCTGGAACCGTTCCACGACTCCAGGCATGTG